CTATTTCATATTGGGTGAGTTACAGTAGTTTGTGCTTTTAAAGTGGCCAATTTCATATAAGTTTTCAAATTTGTGTGTAGCGTTGTTTGTAGTATTACTTTATTACCCTTATGATGTTTGCAGGATCTGTAGTAATATTCCTGATTTTGCTAATTTGTGTTTTCTTTTTTCTTTCTTATTCAATCTTGCTAGAAGTGATCTTTCCAAAGAATCAGATTTTTGTTTCTTTTTTTTTCTTTTCTGTTACTCATTTTCAATCTCATTGATCTCTGATATTATTATTATTATTTCCTTCTTTCTTCTTGCTTGGGGTTTATTTGGCTTCTCTTTTTCTAGGCTCTTGAGATAGGATTATAATTATTATTTGAGGGGGAAAAAACATGTATTATTATTGCTAGGTGGAAATTAACACTCTAAGTTCCCAGGTGGCCTCCACTGGTACCTCAGGGAAGGTAGCCTCATTACTAGCCCTCTCTAACCATCCTACTGGGAAAGTAGAAGGGTGCCTCATTACTGCTGGGTGGGAAAGTAAGTCCTTGTTCCTTGTGCTCTCCAGTGACACCATGGGGGTTGGGGAGGGGCTCCCTGCTGGCCAAAGGGGATGAATGCAGTGGCCTTCTCTGTACACCAGTAGGAGTATTGGTGTGCCTTGTTGCATCCTTATGAGGGTAGAAGTGTAGGATCCCCACTTGGACTTTGTGGGGCTACAGTGTTTTCCCACTGGTTATATATAGTAGGGCTGTCACCATCAAAGTTTTCTGCCCCTTTCTTCTGGTCTTTTGGCTAGACAGGGGAGGCTTTTGCTGAGGCTTTTCTTATCTGTACCTTTAGGCATTTTCAGTTACCTGCTTCTTCAGCTCCAAGTCTGGGATATACGACACAAAAATAAAACTCAATGAATTCACTGCTATGCATTTACTTGGTCCCTATGTCCCTAGCTGATCTGCTGTTTTCTGTCTACTTTCCAGAATTTTCTTATATTTGTTTATATATAATGTCCAGGTTTTTTTTTTCTTCATGGAGAGAATTGAGTAAAGTATGCCTACTCAGTCTACCAGGAAGCAGAAGTCCTACTGCCCCAATTTTTAAAACTTAACCTGCATGTTAAAAAGGAGAACAGACAGAATACATGATATAGATAGAAAGGGACAGGGCTTTTTGTTGTTGTTTTACAAAATTACTAAAACTAACTCATTTCAATGAGTGCTGCTGCTATCTTGAAATCAACAACTGAATTATCCTTTATAGATGATTCTGTGTGTTGAAATTGCTCCCAAGCGTTTTTGGACTCTTTTGGACGTAATTTTAGAAGTTGATTGTGTCCGGTTGCATATTCTCAGTGGCATAAATTGTCATCCTTTGAGGCTATGTTTGACTTTTGGAAGGAACCCTAAAATGGTTAGAGTCAAGATAGGTGGTAAGACAAATGACCAAATTGGGTAATACACTTCTCAGTCTAACACCGTTTTCTAAGAGAACAGTGTGAACCAAAGTATTGTTGTCATGAGAAAGTCATTTCTTTTATATCATACAAAACCTCCCAAACACTTTAAAGGTAGCAAAATCAACATTTCTGTGGTGTTGACAGTAATGTTTCCTTGGGTCCAATGGATATTGGAGTTTTTCCTTGTAAACATACACTTTGACAGTATTTTGTTCAGGTCAACTTGAAAACACCACGTTCCATCACTATTCTCCTCAAATACATGTTATTTTGTCCAACTTCCCCTTGAAAATTCAAAACAAATGTCAAATCTTCTCTATTTCTTTTTATCATTCAAAATGTGTAGCACAGGCTTTACAGAAACCTTTTTATTCAAACTCCCCTTCAGTATGAGTCAGTGTTCTCATAGCTAACCCCTCTGCCTGAATAAATGCCAGCTCTGACATTTTCTGCATTTTCATCAGTCCTTTGTACTTCATCGTGAGCACCTTATTACCTTTCTTAAGCCTTCATGTCAGTCAGAAAAACTTCCTCATCGCCGTCTCTCCACACCATAATTGTTCTTTTAGATATCTTGTGTCCTGTATGTCTGTTTAACTTCACACAAAACTTAGTGTTAATTCTTTGCTTTCTATAGCTGTCATTCCCATCCTCTGCAGTGTATAGTCCAAACACAGACTGAAGAAAACTGCTGCTGATGCGAACAGAATCCTTCCAGATGTTTCCTCCAAGCCCACGTTGTATTTTTCCAAGCCATATAAGAACACGAGCTCCGTCACTTCGTAATCATAGAAAGATTGCTAAGTGCACAGAGCATCAGCCTATTTGCTTAACTATACAGCTCTAAGTCCCATACATAGGATCTAAAATAGGTGATAGACCTAAATCCGTAAGTAGGAATGGCCCTTTGGCAAATTAAAGAGCTGCTAAAGATTTTAATATATTCATCCTCAACAACCTGATCCTCTGTTCCTTTGCATGGCTCCTTTTCAATTCACTATGATAGTCATAGTCAGACAGCCTTTGTTCAGATCCTAGTCCTACCAGTTTTCCGGCTGGCAGATGACTTGGGAAAGTTACTTAACCTCTCCAAGCCTCAGTTTTCTCCTCAATATGATTGAATAATAATAATTATCTCTAATGCTATTACAAGGATTAAAGGAGATAATACATGTAAGTTTTAGCACATTGCTTGGCACCTACTGTTTGGATGACAGCTATTATTTATGAAATGCCAGTCATTAAAGATGGCAAGTAGGATATGGTGTTTGCCCTCAAGTTCCAAATCGAAACAAAATTCTGAGCTCAAACTGTCCCATCAGAAGGAAAAAATAAACAACAAAAAAAATCTAAAGACTATTACAGTTCTATAATATATAGAATTAATTTTGTACCCCTGGATAGACCATTACCAGAATATTCTAATCAATGAAGTGATTGTTAAGCGGTCATTATTGATTTTCTCAGACAGATTACGTGTTTTGGAACTCTAGCTCTATGCTATATCTCTCTGAGTTTTTCTGGGTGTTAAAAATGCTTTGTCTGTGTGATCACTTCCTGTGTGTCCACTGACTCAAGCACTGACTGAAGATCCATGAATATTATGCCAGTGGAGGTGAGAAGCAGGTATAAATGTAAAACCAATGGACTGTTCAGAAGCCAGGCCCGTAAGCCTAAGCCAGCCTATACTCCCAGCTCCTCGGACTCCAGGAAATACTTTTCTCTAACTAACTCAGCATGCCAGTGACTTAGCAGCTCACAGTGTGATACTGTGTTTATCATGGCTTTTCTCTCCTCCCATACAAGAGAACATGAAATTCCACAGAGGTAGGAGAGAATTCAATTTGCAATAAGGAAAAACTTGACCAGAGGGGTGTTCAGTCTTCTAGGATGGCTGAAAAGGGAATAGATTTCATCAAGAAACACACATTTGCCCTCTACGTGGTTATCTCCGTTGTGTTGGTGTTGTAGTGTTGTGGTCACTGGTTAATTGTGTTGGCCAGTGCTGGATTGCTAACTGTTTTTCACTATGCTGGAATAGCCTGAAACTTTTTTTTTCCATCTTTTCCTCAAGATTCTCATACTAAATATCTTTGCTGGTTTTTGATGTAAAAAACTGTACATGATACCAAGACAACCAGTTAAACACCTAAAAAATATATAATCAAATGGTTATTTCCTTTGCTCTACATATGGCCAAATAATAATTTTTGAGTATTTTCTTCACTCAATTACCTCTTGTTTGGAATCAAGAAATATGCCTTTCATCTCCTTCAAATGATTTTCCATGATCACTGTCATTTCCTGATGTCTCTTAAAAAATAAAATGAACCTCTTCATTGACTACTTGCTTAAAATTATTCTTTTATTCCTCCAGCCTGACCTTTTCATAGTAATCAAAATCTTGATTAGGCAGGAAAATTCACAGGCTTTCTTAGCTGATGAATTCTAAGGTGAAATTCATTTTTGAGTTCCAAATTACCCAACCTTAAAAGATCAACAAGAAAGAAAATGAATTCGTGAAGTAAACCCTCAGATCCTTCCATAATGATGAGTGAGGTACCAACCACAACACTATACTAATACATATGCTGAAAAGTTTTTATGATAAGCTTTCCTTTCTCATGTTAAACTTCCATGTTAAGCCCTACCTGATATTAAAAGACATATTCTCGATTACCAGCTCACAAACAGATCTGGTTGCTTGGTAGAAAAAATATCAGGTTGAGTGACTGAAGGAGCTGATGCTAGAAAGAAGGTGAGAAATAGGAGTGGACAAAGGAGCAGGGGTTCGCACCGTATCATTCAAAGATGGGAGACCAGAGTGAGCATGCCCTCTGGTCTCCATAACTGCCTTTAAGGACTAAGAAATGATCACTTTACTGATGAATCTCTGAAAGCTCAACGTGAGATGATCTCCTTACAGAGTTCACACTGAAGACCTTTCCAGGTCTAGTGCCTCCACAGACAATCGATACTCACAGTAATTTATCTCATGTTTAATTTTTAATGTAACTTAAAGATTCCCAAAACCATACTGTTGATTCCATTTTATTTTATTTTTGAATGTCAAAACACAATTTTTTTTAGTTTTCTTTAAGTAATACTCTTGATTTTAAAAATGCAGAAAATCAATAAATATTGACTATACTCATGTAAGCAATATCAGTAAGCACTTGCGGCATAAAGGTTCCATATATTACATCTCTCTCCCTGGTATATTTCAAAATAAAATGCCATATGGAACCTGACTTTATTTTTAAGTAGTGACTTCTTTTTCTTGGACTGAATTGTGTTCCCTTAAAATTGGAGTTAAAATAAACTTTGGCAAACCACCAGCTGACTGCGAATGTATTTAATGCAACCTTGCTCCAATATTAACATTTTCACAAACCATAGTAGGCGGCCCCTCGCTGTCTTTTCATTATCTTTTCCAGCCATGGCTGCAAGCCCAAATGATGCCACTTTACCAAAGAGGTATCTGTACGTGTTTTCTACTTTAATCACATCCTTTCAACACCACGAATCGTCATCTGACAGATTATCTTCTCCACAGGCAGGCAGCCATATCCAGACCTTGATGGGGTCCCAAAGCCTTCAGCATCGTAGCCGGGAGCAGCAGCCATATGAGGGAAATATTAACAAAGTGACCATCCAGCAGTTCCAGTCACCATTGCCTATTCAGATCCCCTCTTCACAGGCCACCCGGGGACCTCAGCCTGGACGGTGCTTAATTCAAACTAAAGGGCAAAGGAGTATGGATGGCTATCCAGAGCAGGTGAGAAGAGATTTCACAATTGATGAATTTTCAGGAAATCCCAATGAATCCATGGTTTGTCTTCCCTCGTTAATGTAGTCGGGGACACATTAATGCTGTCACCATGTTGAGTAGAGTGCAACACACTATTTTATCATTATTTTTAGTGGTTAAAGACACCTACCTATAGGAATTGATGGTTGGTAAAATGCCCATTTTACATAAAGCAAAACTGATGGATCGGAACAGTTTTTCTGGTTTATCCTACACCCTCCTCTCCCCACTCTCCACTCCAATTTAACTCTACAGCACGGCATTGGGATCTTACAAAGAGCTTCAATGGACTAGGTGTGGTTCCCAAAGCCTCTGGTGAAATTGACTGTGTGAAACATAAACTGTATATTCCTCTCTATTTGTGGCATCGTTTTTTAAAAGTCCTATCTTCTGACTGTTGAATAGTGCAGAGATAAAGTTTGCTATGAAGAAAATTAAAAACAACAGAAGGGAAACATTTCTGAAACGCTCCAAAAGATACTGATAAATGCCATGTAGCACAAAAAGAATTGCTGCTCTTCTGACCTATCTAAAAGTAGAATTTGCTTTTCCATTATAAAGACCTGTTTTCTTCCTTAGGACCAGAACACGGAATAAGATTTCACCTACTTAGTTACATTAAGCTTAAAAAGCAAGATATTAAGATATTAATGTTCATATAAAATTAATGTATCTTTTTTGATAATTCAGATAATTAGGCAAAGCTGACTTTGCCCACTGACTTCACTAATACTTTAATATGGTATATAAAGGTTTCACTTTATTATTAACTCAAAGCTTCACATATTATCCACCTTATTTTCTGAATGTATCGGAGAAGATTATCTTCATTTTCTAGTTTTTCCCTTTCTGTTGTTAAGAGCCATTTATTATTTGGATCTCAATGGTCTAGACAGGTCCTCTATTTCTTAATACCCTCTTAAAGCTTAGATTATGTATTAATCATTCTCGGAATTATAGATATTTTTAAAAATAATTCTTTCTCTATCCCGCCTTGATCTAGGCCAAGTGTTTGATTTAAGGGAAAATATATCAGACAGGTGCCTTTAATGAGGTAATGATGTGAGGCTTTTAATTCTTCAGAGATTCTAAAAAGTTAATGGAGTTTTAAATTATGCTTTATTAAAGACATCTAGAAGGTTAAAAATTGCTCATATCTTCTCCCTCACAAATATTATAACCTCAGCTTCATTCTCTGACTTGGTTAGTCCTAATAGCAGCTATGTGTTTGTTTTCTGTGAGAATCAATGCATTTAAAAATTCACTGAAACAATAAAGATTTATATTTTTAAAAATTCATCGAGATCAATGCCCTCTATTTTCACCTACCTTGAATAGTAAGTTTAGTATTAGCGTGCACTTACTCTGAACACTCTAAATTTAAAGACTATTTTTACATTATCCCTCCAATAACACAAACATTGTATAGTTTGACTAATGAGAGGATTACTAGTTTTAAAGTTTATGTGTTTGTTAAAGTTATTTATTTGGCAGGGAAGTGAGGAAGGGAGAAGGAGAGAGAGAAAAACATCCATGTGAGAGGGAAGCATCTACTGGCTGCCTCCTGCATGCCCCCTGCTGGAGATTGAGTCCAAAACCCAGGCATGTGCCCTGACCTGGAATTGAACCAGCAACATTTTGGTGCACGGGACCAAACCAACTGAACCACACCAGCCAGGGTATTGCTTATTAAATGTAAAACATCATTATTCAGAGTTTGTATTTAGAGTCGCTTGCAAGTGTTTTGACTCAACCCCTCTAGAAATATCAAGTGCCTTTCAAAATTAAAAGTAAGCACTGAAACATTCTATAGAAGGCACTTAAGTATGAAAAAAACCCTGCACTTAGAAGAGCCCCACATTTGGTTTAATGCTCTGCTGTCTCCAACTTTTAATTCTTAATAATCTTTGAACAAAGAGCCTCATTTTGCACCAGGCCCCAACAATTATAGAGCTGATACCGCTTATACGTAATCTTTCATTTAATCCTCACAATAATCTTATTTTCTTTTTACAAATGAATAATCCAGGGTACAGAGAAAATAAGTAACTTGTGAAAAATATAATTGGTCAAGCTGTAATTTTAACCCAGGTGTATCTAACCCAAAGCCCAAATTCTTTGTCCAAACCTTCCTATTCAGTTAGCAACAAACCCAGCCAGTGTGCTCCAATGGCTGAGTGTCGACGTATGAACAAGGAGATCATGGTTCGATTCCCAGACAGGGCACATGCCTAAGTTTCAGGCTGGATCCCCACTGTGGGGCATGCAGGAGGCAGCCAGTCAAAGATTCTCTCTCATCATTGATGTTTCTATCTCTCGCTCCCTCTGCCTTCCTCTATAAAATTAATTTTAAAAATATATTTAAAAATAAATAAAATTAGTGCATGATCTAAGATACTGCCTGTTGTGGCACAGACCAGAAGTTTCAAGTGAAGTCACATGATGAAAACAGACTCTGAAAGAAGCAAATGCACCACTGACTGCCGGCTGCTGCTTATATCTTCATTCATTGTTTTCAATATCCTAGTAAAAAACAGAAATGCTGACTCTCACTAAATAGGCTACTTCTTAGCCTCCTAGATCTGACTTTTTGCTAGAACACTGCATTTCCCCTTTGACAATTCTCTTCAGTTTCTGACTGTTTCTTGGCTGTGAGATAGTCTCTCATCTTTTCATGGCCCCTTTGGGCCTTCCCAGGCAGGTAGAACTCTTTATATGTGAGATGAATACTCTCTCTGACATGCTTTATGGGACACAACAGTCACAACACAACCTATTAGCCATACCACAATATGCCCAAGGGTAGTCTGGCTTCAGATAAAAATTTATGGTTGTCACATTTATAAAATCACAGTGTCATCTTTATTATTTCTAATATTAAAAAATATATTGAGGCAGTTCTTCATCTACTTGGCACATGTGAAATTTATTTCCTTAGATTTTTAGTGCCTTCCGGATTGACAATAATATAAAATGGATATAGTCACTACCTTGCAGGAGAAGGACTAGGAAGTATCTGCAACAATTTATAAGTAAATATGTTGCATATGTTTCCTTTCAGGTTTTTTAGTGGCCTGGGGAAACATACCTTCTATATATTACATTGTGCATATAAAATTTTTATATTAGAAATAAATAACCTAAATCTTAAACAATTTAATTGGAAATGCACAGAAATATGGGAAAACACAAAGATAATATATTTAAATCATGTAAGTTCCATTCTTCTCATTTTCTAATCTATATACTAGTAATAAAAGCTTAAGCGATCATTACGGCGGAACGACCAGAACGACTGGTCACTATGATGCACACTGACCACCAGGGGGCAGATGCTCAATGCAGGAGCTACCCCCTGGCGGTCAGTGCGCTCAGTCAGAGCCAGGCTCAGGGCTGGCAAGCACAACTGCCATGGTGGGAGCCTCTCCCGACTACGCAGCAGCACTACTGAGAGGCAGCAGCTGGCGCAGCAGGCACAGCAGGCAGGATGAGCATGAGTGGCGTGGCACCTGGCCCAAATCCAGGCTCCTCTCTGGCCACCTGCCACTTGGCGCACTGCTACTTCCCCCAAGGGATCCCGGACTGCAAGAGGGATGTCCGACTGCCAGCTAAGGCCTGATCCTGGTGCCGTTCTCTGTAGAAGGCACTCAGTCTGAACAACTCAGTGACTCAGGGAAGTGCAGGGAACTCTGGATGAGCCTGCCTCCACACTTGACTCACCCACTCAATGGTGTTCATAGGACAGACCCTGTGTCCCAGCCTGTGCACATGCAGCAGCTGCTGAAGCTCAAGCAGCAGGCCATGCAGCTGCAGAAGGCCATCCAGCCACAAGCCGACAGTCGGACATCGCCCAAGGTGTCCCAGACTACAAGAGGGCACAGGCCAGGCTGAGGGAGACCCCTCCCCTGCACCAATTTTGTGCACCGGGCCTCTAGTTAACCAATAACCACCCAAAAAGGAATACAGGGTAAACTGGTATATTGAATAAAGCTAAAATATTCCTTGGAGCTGCATCAAGTTATCATATGTTCATATTCACAGACACTGAGCCTTATAAATACAAAACTGTTATAAACTGTACTTTCTATCATAGCGTGATAACCAGTTTTTAAGAAATCTAACTCAATTCAAGGAAAAGTTGTAATTAAACATATCTCTAAAATAAAAATCTTGGAGAGTACTTCTGGCAATTGAAGTTTCCCATAATTTAGAAACTATTCATTACTGACTCTACCATAAAAGTTACATTAGCAGATAGTTTTTGCCTTTGTGTTGCAAGTGAACTGTGTAATACTTAAATGTTCTATTCATTATTATGAAATATGACAGTGAATTAAGAATAGTTCCATTAAATGGCCAAGCCTAATTGACCTAGCTCCTAAAGACTCACAATATGCTGATTAAGTCAGGAATAAGGCTCAAATTTGCCTTGAACCATCTAAGAGTTAGCAATTAAAGATACCTCAAAAATAAAAATATAGAGAGCATTTTGGGCATTTGCATTTGCCCATAAGCAAATTAATAGGCTATGCAAGATTGCTGGGGAAAACATCAAACTACTTAAGAAAATAAACATTTCCAATCATCTTTAAGAAGGAGTTTTCTTAACAGTATGGCATTTCCTCAAAAAGTTAAAAATGGAATTCCCATTTGACCCACTAATCCGAATTCTAGGAATGTAGCCCAAGAAACCAGTAACACCAATCAGAAAGGATATATGCACCCCTGTGTTCATAGCAGCACAATTTACCATAGCTAAGATTTGGAAATAGCCTAAATGCCCATCAGTAGATGAATGGATTAGAAAACAGGAATATATGCACCCCTATGTTCATAGCAGCACAATTTACCATAGCTAAGATTTGGAAATAGCCTAAGTTTTCATCAGCAGATGCATGGATTAAAAAACAGTATGGTACATCTACACAATGGAATACTTTGCTGCTATAAAAAAGAAGGAACTTTTACCATTTGCAACAGCATGGATGGACCTGGAGAGCATTATGCTAAGTGAAATAAGCCAGTCAGAGAAAGATAAATATCACATGATCTCACTCGTATGTGAGATATAATGACAACATAAACTGATGAACAAAAATAGATACAGAGACAAGGGTCAGAGGAGGGGGAGAGGTAGAGATCAACCAAAAAACTTGTATGCATGCATATTAGCATAACCAACAGACACAGAAACTGAGGCAGTGGGGGCTTGTGCTCAGGGGTGGCCAAGGGTGTCAACTCAGGGAAAAGGGAGACATATGGAAAACTTTAATAAATAAATAAATAAATAAATAGTTTTCTTTCTTTATGCAACCAAAGTTTTTACCAACTGTGGGTTCTATGTCTTTTAGTCATCTGAGGGCCCCAATCTCATTACTCATAGAAAACTTGCCGAAACCGGTTTGGCTCAGTGGATAGAGCATCGGCCTGCGGACTGAAGGGTCCCGGGTTCGATTCCGGTCGGGGGCGTGTCCCTTGGTTGCGGGCACATCCCCAGTGGGAGATGTGCGGGAGGCGGCTGATCGATGTTTCTCTCTCATCGATGTTTCTGGCTCTCTATCTCTCTCTCTCTTCCTCTCTGTGAAAAATCAATAAAATATATATTAAAAAAAGAAAGAAAGAAAACTAGCATTTTCACTACAGACCACACACAACCCCAACCCATGATCAGCAAGAATTCCTAAGTTTGTTATACAGAAGTTTTTGTAGATCATTCCTGGTACTCATTTCCCTCCAATGGAATTCTTGATCTACATTCTTTGTATCAACTCTTACAGTGACTATCATCCTTCCTACAGTCTTATCTCAAGGTGGACCTGCTCCCAATGCCATCATTTTCCCATAGCTCTATGAAGCACAAGGATCTTGTGTTTAACAGACTTTCATTGATGGTTTTGGGCTTGGGAAGGTAATGTCGCACAGAATACTAAACTATTAGCCCTCCAGTCCTAGATATTTCCTGACTATTCCCTGTCACAAGTCGTTTCTCCACATTCTTGACCTCTTTCTTTTTCAGTGTTCTCTTTCTCCAAGACCCCTAATAGCTTTGCCAGAAACTGCTGCTAAATCCAAAACTCTTTTTACTGAGTATTTCCTTTTTTTGTTGTTTAACCCAAACTCAAGCAATGGCCAAAAGTTCTCCCCTTTCTCAAGCTAAAAGTCCCGCTGTTTCTAAACAAAGGAATTATCTACCAAGGAGACGAATTGTACTACTCACCTAGGAAGTGGTAGCAACTTAAAGAGCCATATTTTCCCCTAACTCTACATTTGCAAATTTTCTTTTACTTACTTATATATCCTTTCAAATTAGTTAGAATATGTGTGCATTTAAAATAGATAATTTAAATAATTCACAATATTTTTGTTATAAGGGTTTTAATTTTTAAAAGCTGTTAATCAAAATTTAGTCTTGCACACAATAATGAATGAATACTTACTAATGTTTGCTTGCCAGGTAATTTCAAGCTAGTTTCATTCATAACTGATGCCTATAGAAGCACTAAATATATTTTGTCAGAGTTTATACCTGTCATGTGTACCAAGTTAATATAAACTATCACTGAGAACTTAAATGAAATGTGAATTTTTTCCTACTGGGATGCAGTTATTTGAAGATATTTAGTTTTTATATGCATTTAATTACCTTTTGATATCTTTTTTACATAGTTTTGTGTGCGAATAGAAAAGAATCCTGGCCTTGGATTTAGCATCAGTGGTGGAATTAGCGGACAAGGAAATCCATTTAAACCTTCTGACAAGGTAAGAAGTGATTTTTTATTGACAATTTTAATTATAAAAACAGTCTTTTACTGCAGGGAACAAAAAAAGGTTGAAAAAAATGTTAAGATTTTTACTGTGCGTTAATAAGCTAGCTAACTATAAAGCCAATTAGAAACTTTTCAGCCCTGGGAAAAAGAATTCACTGCAGTGCTTGACAAATCCTAAGGATAAAAATACATTAATGCAAACATTCTCTTAGAAAGGAAACTTGTTTTTGCCTTTTGTTCACAATTGTATATATTTATAAAGAAAGTTATTCAGGCAATTTCTAATCAGTTGTGTCCAAATGTTTATTTGTAAGCCACTTACTTAGGAAGATGTTTTCTCGTAGGAACAGAATAATTAAATTATGATTCAATGCCAGGGCCAGTTGACTGACATCTCTTTAATTCATCATGTTTGTAAAGTATTTCACTAATAGAATCATAGAACTTTAAACCACAGAAAATAAAAATTCTGTGAGGAAATCAGAGTTAGCATGGCAGAGGAATCTGGTCCTCCTCTGGTGCTTACCCCTGTTTGTCAAACCACAGGCAAAGTTTGGCCACCACCCCCAGTGCTCACCGCAATCATTGCCTGAACATCCGACGTGCTGCCCATGCTCACATCTGGCCTGACTGGTCCCATGGTGGACCACCTGACTTTTTATTTTAAAATGTTCATCCTAAGCCACATAACCTGTCCTGCTACCATCATTGTTTAATACTCTCAGCTTTGAATCAATTAGTAATTATAATTTGATGATAATTGAAACTATTTGCCTTTGACCTAATCAAATTTAATTGCATTAAGTGGCATCAGAAAACTTTAGGATGATGAAGAAAACCAGAAATTAAATGTGAATACAACTTCCACAGGCTCTCTATCTACTTATAAGTTACAACCTGGTACAGATCCTTTCTACTCAGCATTTAAAAAAATAACCCATGAGCCCTAACCGGTTTGGCTCAGTGGATAGAGCATCAGCCTGCGGACTCAAGGGTCCCAGGTTCGATTCTGGCCAAGGTCATGTACCTTGGTTGCGGGCGCATCCCCAGTAGTCTTGGATTTACTATTTGAAACATTAAACACTCAACTAGAGCACTAGTACAGTTGTGTCAGCATTTGCTTAAAGCTAAACCTACTGGTTTGATAAGAACTGCTTCTGAAAAATCTCTGATGTCCTTACTCTGGAGATTTCTGTAGCCTTAAACAGGGCCCTTAATCCCTTATTTTTCCTCCACTTCTTCCCAATCTTGCTTCCTACCATTCTTTTTTAAATATTTTTAATTGATTTCAGGGAGGAAGGTAAGAAAGAGAGAGAGAGAGAAACATCAATGATGAGAGAAAATCATTGATTGGCTACTTCCTGCATGTCCCCAAGTGGCGATTGAGTCTGCAACCTGGGCATATGCCCTGACCAGGAATCAAACCGTGACCTCCTGGTTTATGGATCAATGCTCAACTACTGAGCCAGACTGGCCCAGCCCTACCATTCTTTATGTCCTTCCTTTCCTTTCTGGAGGAAAAAAAGAGGGGGAGGAAGAGGTTGGCCCAAAGGAAGACACTATACACATTAGGATGGAAGAGACTGGAAGGAAATCTTCAGTGGCCATAGATGGGCACTCCTTTGGTCAGCTGGTTGGAGCAGCTATCCTATATAATAAAAGGCTAATATGCAAATTGTCCCCTTGTCTGGGAATTTGACTGGGAGCTCAACCAGGAGTTTGACCAGGGGTGGGGCTGGCTGGCCAACCACCTATGGCCCCTCCCCCCAGCCAGTCCCTCGCAGCCCCTCCCCCCAGCCAGCCTCACCCCCAGTCGGCCCCCCAAGTCCAATCAGGGGTGGGGCAGGCCTGCCAATTGCCCACAACCCCTCCCCCTGGCTGGCCCAGTCCAATCAGCCCCAATTGGGGCCGGTCAGCCGGTCCTCACCCATGCACAAATTCATGCACTGGGCCTCTAGTCTATATATATAAAAGCCTAAGTAACAGAATGACCGAACGACCAGTGGACCGGTTGCTATGACACACACTGACCACCAGGGGACAGATGCTCAACGCACAGGATTGGGCTCCCTCCAGTCTGGATCAGGCCTACAGGATTGGGCCAAAATCGACTATCCGACATCCCCTGGTCCTGGATTGCAAGAGGGCATGGGCCAGGCCGAGGAACCCCAACAGTGCACAAATCCGAGCACTGGGCCTCTAGTTTATGTATAAGAATGTGTATGAGGCAGCCCTGTATATTTAGGGGAATGTCAGTTACAAAAGTCTGTGCATGAGCATTTTTACTTTGAAATGCTATTGAGGAAAACCATCAACTTGATAGATTTTAAATATTCATGGTTTAGTACAGGGGTGGGCAAACTTTTTGTGAGTGTGTGCCAAAACCAGCAAAATCTCTGACTCAAAATTCTTCTGTGTGCCAACCCTAATTTTTTGAGAACATGTTACACCTACTTGATATCTCTTAAGGTGTACGTATGTGAAGAAGTTGAAGACATAATAAAATTCATTCGAGTGACAAAAACACAGTATATGATGATGAAAAATATATTTATTTTTTAATGTATACATGTACACTGATAGTCCAACAGAAACCTTTATGACTCCGTCTGATATTATCAGTGGAACTTTTGCTGCTGCATCACTGATGACAGAGATTTTACATCAGGTTTATATTTCGTGACCTTCAGATATATGCATGAGCTACTACTTTCATCCATCAGGCCACTCTTATTATGAGACTTAACAAAATTCATCACTGAGAACAAAGATTCACAAGCGTGAACTATGCTAAAATTGCCAAGGCATTTTTGCTGATTTTACAGCAGTCTAGGAAAAAAATTATGAATCACAAGTAAATGAAGTTACATATTCAAAAACTTAAGGAAACCTTTACTACATTGACATATTTAGCAATATCATCGTCACTAATAAAAGCAGACTTAGAACTGGACTCCATTTCGAAGCTTTGATAGCGCTCCCCGCACTTTTGGCAAAAGTCAGGAGCACGATCACGCTCCCCGGCACTGTAGGGGTTAAGATAACTTGTTATGTAAAATTATTTATTTATCTAAGACGCACCTACACTGAATTTATCTGAAAAATAAAAAAGTCGATATTAAGAAAAAAATTGTAAATGGAAGATTATAAGAGAGGGTTTCACGTGCCAGCAAAAGTTACTGGCGTGCCATGTTTGGCACGCGTGCCAAGGGTGTCCCACCCCTGGTGTAGTTGGACCACCTGTTTACTGAATTTTAATAAATTATTAATATACCTTAAAGGGGATGGACAGGGTCTAGGAGAAGGAGGAAAGGGGGAGAATGGGAGATATCTATAATACTATCAACAATAAAAAATATTTTTAAAATATATATATATATATATATCTTAAGATTAAAAGTATGAAAGTTCAAAATTATTAGAAACATAACAGTATTTTTAAAAGCCTCAAATAATTATATCTTTCTCTTCTTAACCCCTCTTTTGATCTTTGGTTTTACATGTCCTCCATGAGTTCTTTCAATGAAAAGTTAGTAACCTTATCATTCTTAAGATAGTTGAAATTCAAAAGACTTTTTCTCTTCCTTTCTCACCAGCATAAACATCTTTCAATACAGTGTTAGGAGTCACAGAGTAATAAATATTTTTAAATTAAGGATGAACAGATTGCTGAATTCTCAAGATGTCTAAATGCTATTACCTTTCTACTGTTATTTTCAACTGAAGGAAACAGTAGATGTGAGGCTTTCAAATAATTGCCTGTAATTCTCCCATTATGAGGAGTCTGAACACTTTGTAACTATTACTTTAGTTTCTCATTTGTAACATTTTGATGGCTCTAGTGAGACTGAACTATTCCGATAATTTTATAATTTGCTCTTTTAGTTAAATGTAACACATACAGAGCTTGAATTGTATAATGTGTCCATTGAAATATTTTCCCTCAAAAGCACTTTGCTTTTCCTGATTACTCTCTAAAACTCTTCACAATCTGAAAAGTGAATCTCTATTATTGCAAAGTTGGTCATTAAAAGCTCCAAATCAACAGAAGACTCTCAAAACTGCTCTTAATTTATTGACTACTTTGACGTCATGCCAAGCACATGGTAGATACTTACCTCAGAGTGTTCAGAGGACTGCCCTGGCCAGTGTGGTTCAGTCGGTTCAATTCCTGGTCAGGGCAAATAGCTGGATTGAGGTTTTGATCCCCGGTCAAGGTGGAGGCAAATAATCAGTGTTTCTCTCACACATTGGTGTTTCTCTCTCTCCCTCTCCCTTACTCTCTCTCTAAAATCAGTAGGAACATTAAAAACAAGAGAGAGAGAATATACCAAGCAGCAAGAAAATGAACTTTAAAAATACCTTTCTCCAAAAACAAAAAACAAAAAAAAAACACATTGTTTTTTCAGGAGTTGGCTAATTTACAGCTGAGAATGAGAGAAACAAATTAAACAGATGTTTAAATTCAACACATACTACCTGACTTGGAGGTGGATCCTTTGTAAGAGGTCCTAGTCACGCAAAAGCTTAAATTTAATATGAGCCATACTCCCTTCCAATAAACAAGTCATGGATTAGAAATATCCCCAGAAGCAACTATGTTATTTTACTTACTGTTCACGAATGTTTGAATATTTTGTAATGCCACTCAAAATCTAAGTATCCATGATATCTGAATTTCTTTGAGGCATTAGGACTTTCTCTACTAATGTATCCAAATAGATTTGTTCCGTTCTCTACATTATGATTGATGGAAACCACTGTTTCAGCCCAATGCCAAGGGTCATTGTGAGATAGCACACAAATGACTACCTGGCATATAGCCAAATAAGGAAAGCATGAAGTTGTCATCCCAAAAGGCGGGGAGTGTGGGACTACAGCAAAAGTGAGCTGTGTTAGTCAATCTGGCAGAAGTTCCAATTTTATTCTGTGGTAGCATTAAGATTCTTGCAGATAAACCTTTGGAACAGCCCAAAAGTGAACTAAGGCTCT